GGGGGGGGGGGGGGGAATTACAAAGAATATAAATATGGTGAGAGTGAGAAAGGGATACCAACCCTAGAACGAGGGAAGGAAGCCATGGCAAAGGGTGTTGCTCTACAGATCATTTGCATCACTCCGATTTCATTTTAAAGCGAGAGAAAAACAGTATCACATAATGGGTGTTGGCACAAAAACACTTCGCCTTTTTTGAGTTTTTGTAGAAAATCCCCTCCGTAGAAAAGAAAAAAAAAAACAGAGAGAAGAACACGGCCACTACGCGTCACTAATAAATAGGACAAATTACATTGAAATCCACTCAGTTTTGGCAATTACAAAGGGAGCCTCGTAATTTCTGGAACGTTATTAACAATCCCATTAGTTTTTTTTTTTGCCCAAGCACATTTTACACATGTCCCATAAAATCAAACATTGGTCATGTAATTTTATATTTAAAATAATAATTTATTTTTTATTTCTTTTTCTTTAATTATGTAATTTTAAAATTAAAATAAATAGAGAGAAAATAAGAGAGAGATAGAGAATGATTAATAGAATTATTTGACATTGATGAGTGTGTAGGTTGAATTGTCAGATATTTGAGTCATGTAAAAAATATGATTATTTTTTAGCAGAAAAATAATTTTTGTACTATTTGATTAAGATAGAAGAAAATTGGATTAATGTTAACAATTGTTATGCTTATAAATTTTACCATTGTATACAATATTAATCTCTCCCTCAGCTTTGGATTATTCTCTCCTATAGAGACTCTCAACATATTAGCCATATCTCAGTCCTCACTTTTGATATCATCCTCTTACAACAATGTTGTCTCTCAATGTTAGTTCTTAGTGACATTTATCCCCAAACAATCCCTTTTCCATCTTCGGGTACCCCATTCGAGAATCTCATTCTTACCTTTGTTGTCAAGCTCTGTCACATGATGGACATAGCCGCTTATTCACTAATTAATCATCCTTCATTTGAATTTATGTCAAAGTTCAATTTTTATCACCCTGTAGTGCTTTTCATAATTCCCTATCTTATAATTTCTTCAATGGTGGGATGATGCAAAGAGGAGAAATAACAACGAAGGAAAGACGGAAGGGAGAGAGGAGTGACTGTAAATCCCATGTATCGAACACAATTGTTTCTCTAGTGTTTTTTGTGTGTGTGCGCGTGAGATCATTTGGAAAGTCTTTTCTACTCATTTGCTTATGTTACCATGTATTTGCTCCTAAAAATACAATTGATTGATAGGAAGTTTTTATTTTTATTTTTATGGCGCCTTTGGAATCAATTTACTTAATTATCATATTATTGAGTTTCTAACTTAAAAAAGAAGAAGATAGTTTTCTTCAGTTAAATTAGCTCACGTAACCANTACCAACCCTAGAACGAGGGAAGGAAGCCATGGCAAAGGGTGTTGCTCTACAGATCATTTGCATCACTCCGATTTCATTTTAAAGCGAGAGAAAAACAGTATCACATAATGGGTGTTGGCACAAAAACACTTCGCCTTTTTTGAGTTTTTGTAGAAAATCCCCTCCGTAGAAAAAGAAAAAAAAAANTGGAATTCAACAACAAACTAAAACAAGACATTGTGTAATTTCAGAAACTACAAGATTATCCTTTGCAATTGTCAAAAACATAGGGCATTTATATATAATTACAGCTAACGGGTGACGTGTCAATTATTATGGAGATAACACGTGGTAGAGAGGAGACCTTAGAGTTAAGTACTTGT